GTGTGGCTCTTGTGACTGTAGTGCCATGAAATCATGGATTTTATTCTTGAAGTGCCTGTAAGAGCCAAAGAATTTAGGCATCTAGACAATTAAGTAACTTGTCCATAGTCATATTGTTTCAGTTCAGATTCTTTTTGCATCACAGTTTACATTGTTCTTCCTGATTTTGATACTGAGTTTTCTATGTAAATCCATATAAAATTAAAAAAACTTTACTGTAAGACTGACAAATCTCCATTATTATGAGAGTAATTTCTTCTGAGCAGACAAAGCCACAGTGACTTTTGTCACTCAGTAAGGGAATTGAAATTCTAATTCTGAAATGTACATTCTGTCCCATTAGCAGTTATTTCTATTTCATTAGTCCAATTCTTGTACTGAAAACTACATTTGAGACATACATTTAAACTTTAAATCCCCTCTTTCCTTATGTACTATGTTTTGAAGGCTCTTTCTTCACCTTTGAGTCTGTGGATATCTCTGAAACTGTGTTTTGTTAGCATTCTTATATTTTTGTAAGTCACTGTTGAAAATGCTATTAGAACCAGCCCTGGAATAAGTGTCTGATTCCTCTGCTAACTTAGCTGTATATTACCCGCTTCAACGTTAGTGGGATAGTTTGGCACTATCTTTCCTTGTAAACATGTTACATTTTGCCCCATTTTCCCCTATTTTTACAAAAAGTTACAGAATTTTGTTCATTTTCCAGCTTAATTTCAATCTGTTTTCCTAGATAGTTTCTTTTTATTGTTTTGTTTGTTTGTTTGTTTGGGGTTTTGGGGGGGGGGGCTCATTTAACAGCTGCTTCTAGTCTTACTGAAAGTTTGACCTACTTTTTTATTGTTTATTTTTTACTTTTTTCACTCCACAACTTTCTGGCTAATATTGATTCTAGTCTGTTTTGGCTAGAGAAGATTATTTCAATTAAAATATGGCAGCCCAATGCACAAAATAAATCCTAACACATGTCCTAGGACAAAGTATGCCTATGGCTACAGACCAAGTTCTTTAAAAAGTGAACTGCCTTAGAAACAGTTTTTGTTGATGAACAAGGAAGAGTTAATGTTTGAGAACAAAAACCTGTTTATTGTGAACCTGTAAGAAGTGCCAATGTCTTGAAAGTAATGGAGCTCAAAAGGGAGACATCGCTCCTTTCTTTGGTGGTGGCAGGATGTCCTGCACACTCCTGCAGGGTTTGCATGAAGCTGAGAGGAGCTGGATAAAACAGAAAAAGAGTTTGACCTGGAAAGGAGCTTCTAGAGAAGAAGAACCCTATTTTAGCCCTTTGTTTTTCCCTGTGTATCTAACATACCTAAAGATCGCCCTACTTGAGGAAGAAAAACTCTGTATAAAATGAATACATAGGGAAGATGCCAGGAGCCCTGTGCAAAGAATGTCATCTTTTCATGGCTCGTTTCTGTTAGTGGGTAGACTAAGATTTGTTTGGCCACTTTTATTTCCCAATAAGAGGAAGCGTTCATTATGTTCATCTTGGAAACGGGAAGGAAGAGAGAGTAAACTGGCTTGATACACCTGAGGGTGTTAAACTGGAACTGCAGGTTTTATGACTTGGTTCTGTATGGAAACTTGGCACCTTTTTTTTTTTAATTTTATTATGAGCCTGGCACCTTTATGAAAAACAAAACCAAAACAATAACCAACACGTTGGTTTATTTTAATCCCATTCAGAGATTAGATTTAAAAAAAAAACAACCAAAGGCCCAAATCCCATATCCATTCCTCACCCCTCCTTTACTGAAAGGAAAAGGGCAAATACTCTGATTTCCTTGACAGTGAATTACAAATATGAGCAAACTCTAATACTGTCAAAAGGAAAATTAGAAATGAATATCCTTCTGTGATGTCTTCGCACTGAAGGCCTCAGATAATTTTACAGTTACTGGTGATGACAGCTCAAAGCTGTTTTTTCCTGAGAAGGCTATGATGTCATCATGTGACATCAGTAACCCTTGCTTTCAGAAAGTTACTGAACTAGCAGGTGAAGCCCATTCAGATTTAGCATCTGAATATCTTCCCTCACCTGTAAAAGGAAGCAGGTCTTAGCACTCTAGTTTTATTACAGCTTTTTAAAGCTGTGCATGTGCTTTTACTAGAGCGAGTAGCTCTGAGTTGAACCAAACCTTCCTTTTTTTTTTTTCTGCCTTTTCCCCCCCCTTTGATTTAATTCTCAGTGATGTGTTCCTCTCTTAGTATTACTAATAATGTTTGAACTTATTTGCCATTGTTCTGTTGGTTCTTTTTGGCAATTGTAATTAGCTTGCACCAAAGCAAAAATGTTGTGGATTTTGTATATCTTACATAGTTTTTAAAAGACTAAAGTTTATGTAATTCAGTTTGAAATTAAAATTAGAAAAGCATGACTTTGTGAAAGGAATTTTAATTGTGCTTGTGTGATAGATTGAGTTATTTTACATGCAACACCAGCTTTTGACTGTACTTCTTTCATGGTTTATTGAATTGGTTTTGAATTGTGCTCATAATAATCTTGCAGTATTAAGTGAGTTTGTTAATTTAGAAACTGAATCTTACATTTACTTTAGTTTAAATAAATGTATAGACTATGTGTATTATTAGGTGATGATGAAAGTGCTGTGGATTTAGGGGTGGGAGCGGAGAGTAAGGGTTGAGAAGATAACAGCAGAGGTCAGTGGGTCTAAAATATTTATTAAATTCTCCAGCTCTATGTGCCAATTAAATTCTTCCTTGAAAAAACCCCCACAAACCCACAACAAAAAATTGTTGGGTTTTGGGGTAGTTGTTTCTTAATTGACTCTAGAGAAGATTCACAGTCTTCTGAAGTTTTCTAGGACTTAAGAAAATTGTCTAACCTGAGAACTTTAGCAAGTCAACAGGTGAAATATGTAACAAGACTTGCAATGATTTTTTCCCCCAGAAGATTGTGATACAAATTCAAGTACAGTTAAGAATTTTTTTTCAGCCAGCAGTATAGATAGCTGTAACAGTATATAATCCCCTAGCAAGCAGCAGTTATGCTCAGGTAGACTTAAAAAGTCCCCCCTCACCCCCAAAGCCAAGGGATTGTACAGCAGAGCCTGGAGAATGGATAAAACTATTTGAAAAGTGTTGTTGGCTCAGTTTTCTCACCCATAGGGTTTAGCTTGCACTATAAAGCTAAAGTTACAGATTAAGAACTATTGGGGGTCTTCTGACATGAAAATTAGTAACACATGGTTTATTTTTTCTGAAGCCTGCACGTTCTAAAATCGCTGGCTGTAAGGACTGATGCACTCGCAGTATAGGAATTTGTAACTGTTCCATTTTTTTTTTTTAATAGGAATGTAATAATTCAAATTTTTAATTACTTTTTTTCTCTTTAAGTATTACCTGTTTTTTTTCCTCATTCTCTCCCTATCCACCAAATCAATAAAAATTCTAAAATGTAATTAATATATTGCAGTCATTTGTTTTTCCAAACTCTGAGTAATTTAGAGCGGTCATGACTAAATCTGAAATGGTTAATTACAGAAAATGCACAATCCCCTGTCTTCACCAGCACCTTATAGAAATTCGGTGTTCTTCCGTAAAGTCTGTGTCCAAAGGTTTACCATTCATCTGTAGATCAGTTGCTGCTATGTGTTTGAGGGGTAAAAGTCTGAAATATGGCTTCTGCAAAGTCTTGATTCTTTTAGCATCAACAGATACAATTTCTTAGAGGCACAATCTTAGAGAAGGTTAAGGTTGTGTTCGCTTTGAGCTATAATGAGAATGGTCCAGTTAACGTTTGCAGATGAATATATATATGTATCTACCAGAGGCTGTGTTTTTATTTCTAAAATGTGCTTTATAGCACCTTCTGAAGAAAAGAGAAAGCTTTAATTACTTAGGCTGTATATGGAACTCTGTCCTAAGTCAGCAATTTACAATATTGGCACTTTTTATTGTTGCCTGCCTTCCTCTCCTCTTCTCTCCTTCCCTGGGAAAAATGTGATAACTGACAAGTAATCAACCCATTTTTTGTATTCCCCTTTAAATAGAGTAATCTTCTTTAATTAAGCTCAGAAATCCATAGAATTCTTGAAAACAATGATGTTTTGTAGGGGTCCATATATATTCTTTTTATCAAACTTTTAATTAAAAGTTGCTGTTTACTATTACTTTACAGTTTGGGAACTGCTGACTTATTAAATCATCCAGCTATTACAAGAGGTGGAATTAAACCATGTAACACGTACTATGTTTTTAACAAAGGAATGTTTTAGGGTTAAATACATGCCAGAACTTTGTGACATGTTTAATGTGGAATCCACCAGCAAGGAAGTATTTGTATCAAATAAGTAAATGATGGTAAAGAAATAATTACTACATTTTGTTACTCTTAGAATCTTGAACAAGCTCCAGTTCATTAAAACCTTCCCCTTTTTGGTTGATTGCAGCACATCATTTTGTATTGAGTAAAGAATCTAGGTTTGAAAATGCTTGCACTTTCAGGAAGTTGATTTTTTTTTTCTTTTCTTCTTCTTTAAAATTAAAATAGGCTTGTTTATGATTTTGAATGTAAATAGACTTAATCGATTTATATTAAGAGATATGAGGGCCCTAACCCCCTTAGTGATGGGGCAGGTACCAATGGAACAGTGGGAAAAGACTCCCTGTTGCAGGCAGTCACAGAGGAGGGTAATGTGTAATTTAAAATAAAGGACAGCAGAAGCAGACCTGTATTACATGGTGATAATTCTTTCACATCACATTTTAAAAAATCTTCTATTTTATAGAAAGGAAGTACTTTGTATAGTTAATTATTGTATCTATTTGCTCTTCTAAATAGAATGTGGGAATTTGTGGAAATTTTATTTTAACTCTTAAAATCTGATAGTGTTTTTCAAATATATGGTTTTGAAAGAGTGTATTTGATTGTTAATGTATCCTGAAGTACTGCTAATATTTTTCTTCTTTTTCTGCTTTGCATATTTGGACTGTCTTCTTGGGCACATATTTCTGATGAATCTACTTTGATGCAGTTCACACGATTCCTCTGTAATTCTCCTCTGGAGGTATGTATTCATTCTAGATGCTAGTTTTGAAATGAATGTATTCTTTCCTCTTCACACTACGTAGACATCAAACCATTATGGTATTGGTGGTATAGATAGGTGTCACAGTATTTGCATCATCACCGACTGGTAAGGAAGATAGCACTGTATTTTCAAAGGAGTCTGAGGACTCCTTTGCTGGATAATAAGCCACCACTGAATTTCATATCACTGCATTAAGAAACAGTAGCAGAAAGTGCTGTGTCTTTTCTGTTCTTGATTTATTTCTGTGAAAGAAAAGAATATATTACTAAATAACTTGGTAAACTTGCATTTGACTACAGTCTGAGTTAAAAGTTTAGGAGAGATGCTGTTGCTTCATTTAAAGTAAGCAAACTGCTACGAATTTCTTGCACTTTCATTCTTGTTAGTCTTAAAGAGTTAAGTACCGCGTGACTGTAATGAAATTGTCAGGTTATAGTAATTATGCTAGTAATTTGATATGTTGCAGTTTGAATGAATCCATGTGTGGAGAGTTTGTTGCTTTTCTCTGCTGAGTCCACTGGCCTTTACATTCCTGAAAGCTGAAGAGTAATAGAGCTCATTAGACTTTATAGGAAAAGGGCTTTTATCACCTCGTCAACTCAGGCAGCAGACTGCCATTATATTCTTAATTTTGTATGGCTACGTTGATGTTGATGCACACTTCCCTGCCAGGTTTATACCAGTATTGTTTCTTACAGACACTTTTTATTGACATTTTGAAGCTTGAATTAAATTTTGTGTGGCACCACTACAGATGTCTTCAATTAGATGAAGTTAAATAAAAGGGGTTGTATATCAGAGGCCAAGGGATTCTTGAAATTCTTTATTCTGAAACAGTTGCCACAAGCAAATCTAGTAGTGTGTAGTCTGTTTACTCTTTTGAACAAAAAAAATTTAAAATGAAATTTAAACCTTACATGATTTTGATTTGTAATTTTTTTAATTTTTAATATTGTTATTAGCTGCAAATAGTATGAACACCCAAACTCTTCTTGTCTTTTTTATTTCCTCATTTTATTATTCTGTTTAGTTTCTGTTTTGGCTATGGGCTCTGGCACAAAAAATGAATAGTTTAAAAAAAGGATACAGTAAGTAGTAGCAGAAAACTAGGCAATTTTCTAGCAGTAAACAGGATAATGTAGAGACAACTGTTTGTTTTGTTTGTTTTTTTTTTAATCAGCCTTTTGTCCTAGAAACTACCTTTAGACATTTGCCATTTTACTACTTCACATATGCAAATGCTACCTTGTTTGGAGAGGTTCAGTTATAATGGTTCAGTATAGGAGAATGGCATGCAGGAGTTTTAGCGAAAAAACAGTGTGGCCTGGTACCCTGTTCTTGCCAAGGTGAGAGTGTTTATGGAAGAAGGGCACAGGGAAAATCTGGACTGCTCAGGGTGATTCCGAGTTTTTGGTGCTTAGTGAGTTAGGGGGTTGCTCTGGGCCAGTGGTTCTGTTGGCGTCACTAATAGTCATCTCTGTGTTTGTCCTTCCCAAGTTGTTCCATGTTGTTTTGATACAACAGTTGGAATGAGCCTCAGCACTCGGATGTGCCATGGCATTATGCAGTCAAATGACGATTTTGTTTTGATTTTGTTTTCAAATCCTTCTCTGATTGCTCTTTAGTCTTTTTCCATCTTGACTGATGCTAAGCATGAAATTGATGATTTCATAAAACTGCTCTCAAAAGCATCTTTTTGAGAGAATTGCTAATTTATACCCATTGTTTTGGACGTGTATATAGCAATATTTTTCCCCCCATGCATTTATGTTCCATGCATTTAAGAACATTTGATATTTCCTCTGCCTTTTTAATCACTCGGTGTTATGGGATCTTTCTGTAGTTATTTAGGCTCAGCTCTTGTTTAACCATCCTGAACACTTTTAATTCATCAGCTCAGTTTGCTGCAACATTGTTCAGTTTTTCAGTGATTCACCTACCAGTATGGAGAACAAAATAGATCCAGCGTGATGGAAAGTGAGCTGCTTGCCATTATGTAAATGGTCATTTGTTCTCACTTCGTTTCCTGTTATCTATACTGAGATGCTTTTGAATTCTAAAGAATTGAAAGACATTTGTGAATCTAGATCTTTGCTCTTTGAAAAGCACAGCAGCTTCTGCTCTGCATTGTTTTGTTTATTGAGATGTGTTAATTTTTAGGAGAACTAATAACAAATGATACTGTTCCAGGTCTGTAATTCCCAGGATCACCTTCTGTTGAATGTCATATTTTAGTCACAATCAATGCACTGTTCGGGACTAAATCAAAACTCATCTCGTTTAGAGATCTTGGCAAATTGCTTTTTTACTTATAGTGGTGTAGACATCACCAGGATGTCTACATGGTGATAGTCAAAGTTTCTTGCTACTGAAGTCCTTTGTACCTTCACAGCTTCACTAATCTTTTTAGCATTTTAAGCTTACTATCACTGTCATGATTAAATAGTTGACAGTATAGCTCCAACGCTGTACTTTTCCAATAAGATACAGATGTTAACTCTGTAGACAGTGTCTCACATTTTGTTGCAGTGGGTTGATTTACTTTATTTTGATACGGAATCACAGAATTGTTCAGGTTGGAAGGGACCTCTTGAGATCACCTAGTCCAGCCTCCCTGCTCGAGCAGTGTCGGCTAGAGCAGGTTGTCCAGGCCCATGGGTTTTGAATATCTCTGAGGATGGAGACTCCACAGGCTCTCTGGCCGGCCTGTGATGCTGTTTGACCACCTTAGTTAAAACCTGTTTCCTTCTGATCAGATTGAATTTCATGTCTTTTAATTTGCATGCATTGCCTCTTGTCCTGTTAGTGGTAACTACTGAGAAGAATCTGGCTCCCTTATCTTCATTCCCTCCTATCAGATTTTTCTACATATTGATAAAACCTCCCCATGTCATCTGTTCTGGAGGCTGAAGAGTCCCAGCTTTCTCAAGCTCATCTTATACAGCAGATGCTTAAGCCCCTTAATAATCTTTATGGCCCTTCTGGACTTGCCACAGTAAGTCTGTATTTTTCTCGTACTGGGAAGCCCAGCCCTACACCCAGCACTGCCGATGCAGCCTCACGAGTGCTGAGCAGAGAAAAGCTCACCTCCCTCGCCCTGCTGGCAGTGCTCTGCCTGGTGCAGCCCAGGATGCTGTTGGCCCTTTTTTCGGTGAGGGTGCTTTTTTAAATGAAAACATGCAGTGCTACCTCTCTGCTGACAGAGCCTATAGTTGTAGGCTGCTTTCACAGCATCTCCACTAATCCCTAATGAAAGGAGAAAGTAGTACTGAAAAGGAAATATGTTGCTAACCAAGAGATAGAAATCTACCATATGGTAGGTTGTGTATGTGTGCGCCTTTGGGAAAGGAACTGCTGGAATTAATCACTTCACTTATTCGGCAAATAATTTCCACTGGACTGTAGAAGTCAGGGGTTTCCTGGCTTTTTTTTTTTTTTTCTTTGTGTAAGGGATAGCATGGATTTCATATCTTCCTCCTCCCTCCATGCACAGCGGAGGGTAAAATGGAAAAGTTCAAAATAGGAAATTTCATGAAACCTTCCAGAGAAAAATAATCATGCAGTTAGTATGGTCAGGACCCACTTTTGGTAAGCAAGTATGCAGTGCCTTCTGCAGTTGCACACTGATCTGGCATGTGGGTTAACAAGTGCAATTTCCATAATAGTAATAAAGTAGTAAAACATCTCTTAAAAGTAAAGAGAAAGACCAACGTGCTTTGAAGAAAATTGAGCACTTTCCCCATCATTGAAGTTCAATTAGAAGCAGTTACTACATTGAGGTGTTCTAATTGGAGCAATATGTAATACCAGTTGCTATTAAATATTTAAATTTTAATAATGCGTTATAAAATATGAGCAATCAATTGTGTTCATGGAATCATTAGCTAGCAGAATATGAAGACAGGCAGAATTCACATGTAATGGAATATATTGTATATCTGTCTGTATTGTAGTCTAAACACTGGAGAGAAAATTACTTGTTTTAATATTTTTCCTGGATTAAGTTCTTATTGTTTTGATTGTTTCAATATCATCAGATTATAACAATTCATCGTATTGAATTTTGAGTATAAATTGTTAATTTTAAATAAATTGATCCCTCTGGATTGATTCCAGGGCTAAGGTGTAATTTCGGGTAGATAAGGTAAGCCTTTTCCAGTTGGGCTTGCTCACCTGATGTCACTGGTATATTTTACATCACCTTTGGCAAACACAGTCCCAGGTGGACATGTCAATAGTGTGAAATGGTATAACCTGCTTCAGGAAAATGTTTCATATTCTAGACCTGTTTCATGTCAAACTGCCTGGATGGTGCATGAGAAACCAAGTTAAAGGAGCCAAGTATTCATTGAGAAATTGGAGAAAACATACTTGCAAGCATTACAAAGGATTACATTGTATCAAAACCTCTGAAGGAGGAGGAAAATGTTACTCTTTTAAAAAAAGTTATTTGCTTAATGTAATGGAGATCCCTGAACGTTTTGCCTGAAATCAGTGCTGTGCTTATTATGTTTGTTGCAGAACATAGCCTCTTTTACGTTCATGACATTTCATTGTAATTGCATTAGTGAAATAACTGTAGTTTATACTTTACTAGAAGTTCTTAACTGATGCTAATACTTCAGTTTGCAGAGGTCCAGTGACCGAACCCATGCAATGCTGTTCAGAGGTTTGGGGTCACACACAGACACAGCATTCATTTAACTGCAGAGGACTTGGCTTTCAGTGAAAATCTTTTCCATGCTGGCTTAGACTATCTTTTTTAACATTAATGAAATCCTATATGATGAGTTTTTGACAAAGAAAGAAAATCTGTTTTAATGGAAACTTATTTAAGCAGGTCTGTGTTATATTACCAATCACATTTCCCCTTGGCTTGCAGGAGATGTTTCATTTTTTCTGTCACTGGCTGCACCCTGGTAGCTGAGAAGAGAACTTAACCTGTGCTGAGAAATCCTTAGAGAAACTCTCTTACTTGACTGTGTCCCAGCTTAAAAGTTTTACTACTGACCATGTGATTTCATTTGGCTCTGCTGAAAAGTTGATGATATTGTATGAAACCATAACTGCTGAATAAGTAGGCTTTACCTGAATGAGAAGAAACCCAATTTAGTATGCTAGTATCCGAGTCTAATATCCTTGTATACTGCAGATTGAGCTCTCAAATGTTTGATCGTTTCACTTTTACAGTATCTGTAGCTCCATATCTACTTTTATGCTATATAACTATATAAAAATGCAAACATTTTATTATACAACTTTTATTTTGGGCCTTATTGGTTGGGTAAGTCAGTTGAAATGGTTTTTGTTCACGTGATTGATTTCTTTTGACACATGTGGTACCAATTAGAGTAACTTCTACTGCCCATCATCTCTTCAGTCTGCGCTACTGTATCAAAATACTTGATTAAACCCACCTTCTGTTGTTGTAATGCAAACCAGTTGGTAATAGTAGGCAATATTGTCAGATTTATTGAGTGAGAAGCAGCTTTCTGAAGATCTGGCAATGCAGTGAAAAACACGACTAGATGGATAATTAAGTTGAGCAGAGTGGAATTCAGGATTAAAGTAAACTTGACATGGGAGAAAATGGCATGCCAAGGTTGGTTGTGTAATACAGTTTAAATTAGGAGATCATTTTCTTCTTTATTTGAAGCATCAGTTTCTGGCTCTAGGTACTTCATGCTGTCCGGAGACATACTTCACTGCACGTCCAAAACTCCAGCGCACAACAATAGCGAGGTCCTTAGTGTTTCTTGCAGAAGATACTCTGATGTGGGCTGACAAAGATGTTCCACAGATTTTGTTGCAACACAGATTTTCAGGTTCTTAGATAAAAGGTGTTTCGTTGGTCATAAACAATAAACTGCACATGAAGAGTAAGCTATTCAGTCCTTTAATAAATGGTCTTCTCAAGCAACTTTAATGGCCACTCTGAGAAACTGAATTTTGGTGGCCATAGTGCTTCCAGTGCTTGGGGGCATCGGGGAGAGAAGCAGTAGGGTCCTTGCTGTGACAGAAAGTGTTGGAGGAACTAGGCATTCACAGCCAGCTTTGGGAAGCACCAGTATAGCGAAATGTCTGTGTTTCACCTCTCTGTCTTCGGGCTTCATCTCTTGTTGAAAAGTAGGTCAAATTAAAAGAGTATCTGCAGAATTTGTTTGCATGTAACAATACATTAATAACTCGATGAATCATGTTGTTTTATCATGTCAGTACTATAAATACTAGATGGCAGAGGCTATCTGCAGATTCATGTTTGGGATGCGTGATATGTAGAGTTTACTGATCATGAGTAGAGCAAAATCACAAATGATACAGTGAACTAACATTGTTTTCCCTGGTTCTCAAATTCATTTTTTTCATTTTCTAAACACAGATAGCAGGAGTAATTTCTCACAGTATTTACTTTTTTGTTAAAATTCTTTCTAAAATGTTTTTATACTGAAAGTCTACCTGTCAGACAATTACATCCCTCTTTTGTTTTTGCTTAGGCAGAGAATGCACCAAATGGACCAGAATGTGGCTATGGTTCTTTCCACCAGCAGTATTGGCTGGATGGGAAGATAATTGCTGTTGGTGTAATCGATATCCTGCCCTACTGCGTGTCCTCTGTCTATCTGTACTATGATCCAGACTATTCTTTCTTATCTTTGGGAGTCTACTCTGCATTACGGTAAGAGGACATTTGTGTTATCTGGTTAGACGTAATAGTAAGAATTGATACTTGTTCCTAAACTTGAGCTTTTATTTCCAGTCTAAACAGATACTGGTAACACTATCTCTAGCAAAGTATTTGTGTTGGTTTTTTTTTTTTTAATTCTCTGCAGTTGGTTGCATTCCAAATAAATTTTTAGTTGTCATCCTTGAATAGGGATGTATCTTTCTAGTTAGCTAAATAGTTTTAAAGATTAAAAACCACTCAGAAACTAAATGCCTAGTTTTTATTGCCCCTGAAAATAATTTAGTATTGCTTGGTTTCAGCAGGTAAAGCCCCTTCTTTGTTTGAATAGAGGTAATTTTTCCTTTGGCCTATTTCTTAGCCCAGTCACCAAATGAAATTAATCACTTTTATAGTTTTATGCACATTGAGATCATAAATAATAGAGTACCTAAAAGCCGTTGTCTTCTGAATTAGTAGTCTCCTGCTGTACTAGAACTAAGTATATTTTTCAGGTATGTTAATCTCATTATCTTTGTCTTTAGCAAGCCTGATGGAGAGAGTGATCCCATGAATTTTATAGCCTTAAATTAACTATGAACCTAGTCTTGCAAAACAGTAGGAATAGTGAGTAATGCTTTTCACTGTGAATACGACTTGCATGCTAAATTGCAAGTTACTGTTTTTCCTCCATAAGCAATTTTATGGTTGCATTATAATTATAAGGAAAAAAAACCCTAAATGAGTGGAAATATTTGTGCATCTCAGTTTTTTTCTTAGCTTTTTTGCTTCTCTGTTACATGAAGTAAGCTGGTCACAGATGCGGTATTCCCAGGGAGGTTCTCATGAAGCAACTGGGTTTGAACCTCATGCCAGACATGTCTATTTTCAAGTTTCCCTGGGTGTGAGATGTTCTAGAAAAAGTCTTTACCTGTTGAGATTTGCACTACACACCTTCAGATGTGAAAGAAGTGCTAAATCGTGAGATTCATCTTTCTTCTTTCTCCAAGGCATCCTGTTGAGAGGCCTCTTCTCTATAGGTGGAGCTTCTTAGCTAATCGTTTAGTATTACCCACCAGGATGGGTAAATATGACATGACTTTTGAAATATGTAAAGCACAAACACTATTTTTAGGATCTTTTGTTTTCCTAAGAATCTTTTTTTTTTCTTTGTTTCTTTTTTAATTCTCCTTTTGGGTGTATTCTTCTCTCTGTAGTGGTGAATTTTGTGATTTCTGCATAATCTTTACATGAGTTGTTCAGATGGATATGTCAAAGGGTTTTTCCCACAAAGTTCACTGTTAAGTTTCTGACATCAGTCTAATGGTTTATTGCTGCTGAAATGAAGTGCTGCAATAACTCGTCTCCATCTCTGCTATATGCTGGGCTTCTAGAAACCATATATTTAGCCGGTTTAATTTACTGAGCAGAAGACTGTTTGCTTTAGCAACCTGGTTAGTGAGCTTAGTTGGCTCAGTGGAGAACCTGTTAACACCAGAGCTAGTCCAAGAGTTGTGACAGAGCCACAATGTGCAGCTGAGAATGTCCAGGGAGTGAGAGAGCAGGACTTCCTCCCACTCTCTGGTAAGCTCTTAGATCAGTTAAGTCCTAAAGTGCAATTTCTCCGAGTATGTCACCTTTAATAAGAGCTGGTAACATTGCCTTCCTGTTGGCTTTCCCCACTTTGTTCTAGAATGGTTCTTTATGATGGAGAAACTGTAGAATCATGGAAGTATTTAGGTCAGAAGGGACCTCTGGCGGTCATCTGGTCCAGTTCCAGAGCAAATCAGGGCTAACTTCAAAGTCGTCATGAGCATTAATGCAGCTGTTGCTGTAGCATCTCCAGTGGTCTCTATCTAAAAGAGTCTGAACTGTCATTTTTCTGAGGCGTTCAGTGGCACTGGCGATTTTATAAAACTAATCAGAATTAACAAATGTAGAAAACATGTTGGAACTCCTGTGATTTAGAATTGATCTTTTTTCTGTCTATTAGTGGTCTAGATTTTTAGAAATATTTTATTACATATGCTAGATACTTGAAATTAGACTGATTATTTTTCATGTAAGGTGAGCAATAACATAAAATACCAAGTCCTCCTAAGAGTTGTTTTTTAGTATTTGTATATATCACATTACTTTATGTAATGATGGACTGACATAATCCATGCTCATGAATTCTTGAACTGATTTTAAATTTTCTACATAATAAATTTAAAACTTTGTCGGCACAACATGCGTGCATGGCTCAACTAGTGAAAAAGCAGCTTATAAATTCTGCAGCATTTAAGGCAATAAAAATGAGTTCCCAACAGTCTTAGAGGGAGCCAGCCTTGTCCTTCTTTCAAAAGTGGGAAAAAAACCTTGAGAGTTAGGGAGGATTTAGGATGTTGCAAAGGAATCTGATAGCTTCAAAGCTGTTGCCAATTTTACTCTGAGGAGGTTAAACTGCATTGCAGTGCTGTCACTTCCACTTCATGATACTTTGAGAATTTTTGATGCTGAGTCGTAGAAAGGATGGGATTTGAAGATCACTTGAAATATGTAGGCATGTAAGTAAAGAATGAGGGGGGAAGCTGCTACTTGTGAAATATCAGTCTTACCAAAGGAAAAAAAATCATGAAGAAATATTGAGTGATTCTTATTTGCAGGAAAAAGTTAAACCTTCCCCCTACCACCTAAAATCATGAATAGTAGACAACCATAGTATTCATAACCTTTATTTAGTAGGAGGATGAATACTTGAACTTCTTTTGGAATTGGAATTAGCACTGAAATACTAAGTCTGAATTTTGTATTATGAAATGAATATATGTCTTCCTCACTAGTTGGCTACTCTGGCCAAGTGCAAACAGCCATTATAACTCTTTAGATGCATACCATAACTGAAAGCTTTACAAAAAACAATTGCAAGTCTGTAGTCCCTTTTCCATAGGAAAGATTTAGGCAGAAAGAATGCAGGTAGATGTTTGTTATGCCATACAGTGACACCTCATGGCTGCTCCTGGTGTAAAATGATGGAGTTGGAGGATTCTCTTACCTTGGATCACAGCATACACTCCTGAAAAGCAGAAAGAGAAGGAAGTTTTAGCATCCCCACAATAAAACTTTGCCTGGAGTGGGGTTGGCTGAATAGATAAATGGAAGATAGAGCAAGAACTTGAGTTAAGGGTCCTTACCTAAGGCATATCACTGGAGACTGTAGTACATGCAAAGACAGTGGCAGTAGTTCTAAGCAAGCTAGCTTTAGTATCATGTGCACTAATTCACTTGCACGAAGCTTTGTTGCCTATAGTAAGACTTGCTGCTGCAGCCCAATTTTTATGTCGTTACATCATGGTCTATTTACTTCACTTTCTGTTCAGTTTGAGTAATTTTGTTTTATTAGATCAGATAGTGTAGTCCAATTGGAAAGAGTGTTTAAGAGATTTTGAAATGCAAAGATAATGTTTTTCCCTGTAGTGTTCCAGCTTTTTGAATTGCAGAAAGTCATTTGTTTAATTAGGTCCAGGATAATCTGCATGAAAGGGCAAGGTTGTTTAATTTCATGCCATGTCTTAAAGATTATGTATATGAAGTGCATGTTTGTACATTTTTGGTAGTACATAAATCTCACTTCTGGAATCTGTTTTACTTACCTGGATTTTCAGATATGGAGTAACTTATTTCTAGACGTTCTCCTCCTTTTGAATGGATGTATGTATAGATACAGAGTTATAATGAACTCGTGATGGTCTCAGCAAACTACATGCAACTGAAATGTTAGGAAATGTTAGGTTTTCAGTACATTTAAACATCCTTATTACTAACTTAATATTAAGTGATAAAAAACCCCATTATTTGTACATGCTTCCTATGTGCATGTGCTCATAATCCTCTCATCCCTTCGACATTGAAAGTAAGAACCAGCATACATGTTTTATCAAATTTGTTACAAAAGTGAACTGCAAAGTTACAAATGCTGTAAAAATGAGCATTATAGTGGAAATACTGGCTGAATCTTTGTAATAATACTACTTCCCTTGTGCTAGTATAATAAAAAGCAAACTTATTTTGGAATATATTGACACTTCTCTTTCAGAATAAATGAGAAAATGATACAATCAAACATGAGATGGGTGAAAAATATCTTTTGTTGCATAAAGATGGATGTTTTTACATGTAAACTGCTAGAACACAAATAATAGAACAAACAAGAGGCTTATCTTTGAGGCTTATTTTTTAAAAATACCCTGTTTCCTGATCCACGTTTGCCAGTCTGTGTACAATAGCTGGGCCAGATTTCTGCAGAATTCCAATGTACATGAATATTAACAAGAAACCTGTTAAATAGAGGCTCTTAGTCACTTTTATTTGAGTTTCAAGTTAGTCCATTGGCAGGACAAAACACAAAAATGAAAGTATTTTTAAGCCTGACATGGTGTTTTGCATTTTGGTGATTTGTTTGCTTGGGTTTTAAGCATTCATTTTCAGTTTATTATCTTCGGGTTTCTTTAAGTATTAGTTTTGAGTTTATTATCTTCATTTTTTTATTTGATAGAAGCCTAGTCCTTTAAATAGGTCAAGAGCCAGGTAGCTGTAAAATATTTCAATATGAAGAGGTAAAATGAATGTAAGAATTGTATTCAAAAGTAATTAGTCTTTTCTTTCCTTTCACAGGGAAATTGCTTTTACTAGGCAACTTCATGAAAAAGCTTCTGATCTCTGTTTTTATTATATGGGTTTCTACATTCATTCATGCCCCAAAATGAGATACAAGGTAAAGTGTGTTTTTACTTATTTCCTTAGTGTACTATTATTCAAAGCATTTGACAGCATTCATAGTAATATAATATTTTGTAATTGTCGTTTTGGATTTTAATGTAGACTTTATATGGTTAAATTTGAACATTGGTTACTATTTAACTTAGCCTAGGATTTTTTTTTTTTTTAAATTTAGCTGCATGTGGTATTTATTACAAGTTGGCTTAAAAGCACTTCACATGGAGAGGTTTTCAAAGCTGTCAGATAATAGTTTGTCATTTGGTTACCTGGCTATCTCATGTTTACAGTGTATCTTCCAATAGACTAAAATTCTCCCTTTTTTAGGTTTGCATATTTGTGGAACTGTTGCTTAGTGACTATAGGCAGTGATAACATGCCTTCGTGGTCTTGGCTGTACTTGGGTTTTTCCTTTTTGTTTTTTTTGTTAGAGATAAGGGACTTGCTCTGCCCATGAAACAAGCGAGAAGCTAGGTTAGCAGCAATTTTGAGCCAGGTAGCAGAAAAGAAACAAATATGACTATAAGGGCAAAAAGTGTCCCAATTCTGAACGATAGCATTGCTAAGAAACTTTGGGTTCAGCCGCTTGTAGTAAGTTTTAGTAAAAACGTGAACTTTGTATGCATGGATTAAACAAAGCTCATACATGAGTTAATGTATTAAAGTAGCCAGCAAACTATTAAAATATGAAGATTAAATGCTGTAAAACTGGGAGCTAACCTCATTAGCCACTATACATTTGTATTATTAATTGTAATGTGATACCTCTTCTGTTGGTCCTGTGCTGTTATTTGAAAATGATTTCATCAAGAATATAAAATTCTCACAATGCTTCTAGTTTTCATTCTCAAATAATGGAAATTTAATAAATTGTAAAGGGAGTATTATAATTTTATGTTTTTTTCCACAGAAGCTCCTTTTCTTCCCTTGCTTATACTTAATGACTATCTGATATGACTGTGATTTGTTAGAATATACATTCTAGTCTTCCAGAAACCTATACATGTCAATGTGCTTAGGTAATTAAGTGTGGCCCAGTATGAGAATTGCCAGGGCAGGGGATGGGGAAAAGAAGAAAGCCTATACACATATATTTAGAACACACACAATAGCAGGTAAGTAATGTTCTGTGTTAGGAGAGTAATAATTTAATAAATGAATTGCAAGGGTTTTTATTTTATTTTATATTTCTTTTCCTGTGTATATTTGTTTTGGAATTGGCCAAATGTAGCGCAATTGAAAATCAGGTTGACATTAATTCTGTAGTTCCACTTTACCCTCACTGAAATAGTACACTGCAAACTACTTTTAAAACTAAGCTCTGAAATGTGACAGGATAATGCTACTACTGTTGTGAAGTTATTGGTAGTGGTAAAGTAGGGTGGTAAGTACTGACTTTGCGGGTTAAGTAATTTCAGTAATGCTTGGTTAACTTAGAGGCATTACATGTTGAAGACTTTGCTTTATTACAGTTTAATAGAGATGTTAGAGGCTCCCTTCCCTTAATGATACTAGTGTGGAAGAATGACAGGCTGTAGGTAACTGGTTAAACTGATGTCAGGTAAGCAAATTAAATGAAGGAAAGAAAAGGAAGGAGCTGAAAAGCTAACCACTGTTTTTTATCCTCTACTTGTAATTTTCTTTGCAAATTATTTGTCCTAGGATGTTTAGAAATGGAGGCTAGGCACAGTATCACTTTATATAAGCTGTCTTACGAAGAACACATGCATGCTGTACTTACTTACAGTGAAGTCACAGGATCTTGGAAGTCTTTGAAAATTTTCCGTCTTCTGGTCACAGATTGTGATCAGTGGAAATGCCTAAGCTGGCATTTGCATTTGATTTTTGATGGAAACACAGTGCTAGAATACTTGTAGCAAAGATGCCTGAGCTTGACTTCTGGTTTGTACCAAACAGATGTCTCTCTTCCTGCTGACTGAAGAGGTGAAGAGGGATAGCTGATGAATTGGGATGCATAAGGAACAGTGACTTTATGATGTTGATTTAAGGAGTTTGACAGTGTTCCACTTTGCATGGAGTAAAACTCAGTCTTCTGTACAAGATGTGGTTGGAGTAATTGGGGATCTGTGCAATGAACTGTGGTACTCGTATTACAATCCAAGACTGGTGCATTATTGTTGTGGACATGAGGATATAGCTGGACATTTTGGTTTTAAATACATGACTCCTAAGTTGAAGGTATAGGTGTCCAACAGCAAGAATTGAAGCCTTGTTCTGCCTGGGTACTTTCTTGGAATGCACATTGTAGACTTCTTTTCTGGATTCGAACTTTTTTGTGGATGTAAAGTAATCATCAAACATAATTTTTTAAAGCACTGGTAATAGGTGATCATAAATACCAGTAACTGGGTGGTATATAGTAACAGCTTCTCCCCTCTGCATCACATCATCTTGGTTATGTTGTATGCTCTAAGGAGGTCCAAGGCATTGATAGAATACTTTGTTGAAGTATTTATTTTTTAATATGGCTGCTAGTATGCTTGTTCTGTTTTTTTATGCAGTTCTTAAAATGCTATCTGTATCTTTATCCTGGAAAGTTTCTTTGAGCTGTCATATGGCAGATATGGCCAGAACGTCACACCAGTTGCCCACAGTGCAACTGTGCTGTGCAGCTGCTGAATATTTTTAGCCCCCACTGAGCAGGTCAGGGGCTGAACTGGCAGAATATACGTTATTGGGGGTCAGTGTGTGACCTTTTCATCTGAAGGATTCTGTTTCCATGAATGATACAATTGTGGGCATAAATAGTATGTAATCCAGTGGAAGGTTGGAGGCATGAGTGTCCTGGAAGAGGGTCCCCAACTCAGGATTCCTGTGGCTCCGTAACAGAGTTGGATTATCAGACAGGAAGATAAATGGTTAAAGAGTATCATCTACCACATGGATCAGACGTAATTACAGAAGTTTTTAAAAATAAAGCTCCATTTTGACTCACTGTTCCCTTCCCTTTCCTTTTGTTCCCAAACAGCTTGCATTTGATTGCAATGGGATTTTAAAACAGTGGAGTACTGGTGAAATTACTTAAGATGGGGGAAGGGAATATATTGCAATATTATGCTATTTTTTAGTTCCCAGCTTCTCTTAGATTTGTTCCCATGTATGGGTTAATATTTATGAACTGGTAAAATAAAAACTACATTAAATTGAGACAAAAGGATTTCTGTAGTCCTATTAACTATGTTAATATGGAAAAATCCTATGAAAAACCTTAAGCAATGGCTTTGTTCCATTTTTTCTGGGTAGGTTAGGGTAATACAAGATTAGAATGGTTCTCTGAAGAAATTCATGACCTTGTGGTAAAACTTTTCAGGCTCTGTTAGATGTGGTAGTTCTTATGTTGGAAAACAGTCTTCTGGAAAATTTTCCAGGACTCATAAGATGCAAAGTCTTTTTCCTAATGCATTTTGGAGTCTGTGATAAAATTTTAAGTCTAAGAAAGTATTTAACTTTAGGATTATGTTGGTCTCAAGCTTGCTTCTCATGTGTTTAAGCAATGTATCTGTACTTGTTTAATGCTTTTCAGTTAAAGACGTTTGTTTACAAACATATTTATAGAGTTACAGAAATAAAAGAACCACCTTTAGTGAACAGCCATATCGGAGAGATGCTTGAGGGGATCTTGGATTTTTTTCCTGTACTGATACTCTGGCTTATCCTGCATCTTTCCAAGTAAAAAATTTTACTTCATGGCTCTATGTTACTAAGTTCACATTTTCCAGTCACTACTGAACTCTTTGAGATCCTTTCTGTTCTTTCCATTACAGTTCTTTGATACTGATTTTGAGTCTTGTGGTGGGTGACACTAACTAGATTTTGGGTTTGTGCTTCTGGTGTAAATAGCAAGTGTACTTGCTGCCGTGCATTTGCCATTCAGACCGCTGTTGACCTTAAGTCAAGTTCTCCTTTAAGTTCTTGTGTTGGAAGGGATTTGTTGGGGATGTTTTCTACGTGAGTTTCCTTAGTTCTGGGTTTTCTGAGTTTTTTTCAGTGTCAGTATTTGCATGCAAATACTGCAGTTGAAGCACATATTGTTACTTGTTTTGGTCAATGATCTGCTTTCCTTGAAGCCCCTCCGCTAAATAACTATCATAAATAACTATTGTAAATAACTATCAGCATACTTTGAAGTGCATAACAGATTTAATGTCTTCTTGCTGTGTTTTCTCTGTGTACCATTTTAAGACCATTCTATGATGTGAAGAGGTGTTTTGACTGAAATCTTTATCCAGACTTGTATGCAGGCCAAAGTAAATGGAATTATTTCAAACAGTCTCCTTCGGTATCAAGGCATGGCCAGACTTCAGATAGATGGAATACTAGAAAGGGTTCTGAAATGTCAGAAAAGAAACAAAAGGCTGATTCAACTGTGATTAATCATTCTTAAACTAAATACCTCGGACTGACTGTGGTTCTAAGCAGTGCCCCTGGAATTTTATGGCACTCGAGAGCCAATTTCTTTGGCTGCTTTCAGGAATTTCAGCATCACTCCTCCTGCAGCAGTGAAATGCATCCAGTGGTAGCCTGGATTTCCACGCCCATGGGATCCACAAAGGTCTGACTCATCCTCACTTGTCCTGACTCTTTTGCCGTTTCTGACCATGGAATTTAGTTAACCTTTTCAATAAGCTTGGATTTGCTGTGTAAGCTGAAATGCGTGAGGGAAAGAGACTTAATGTGATGTGACTTAATGTGATCGTCTATGATTTGGGGGGGATAAGCACATGCCACTGAGCAGCAAACAGCTTTCCAAAATGTGTCACTAGTTCCACACAAAAAGAGCTGACATTTTTATACCTCCGTGCATGATCTTTTTATTCAGCATGTGTTGAAGTTCCTACCAGCTGTCAGCCTGCTTTTCTCACTGGTATTACTATTTACCTTGATAATGGGAAAAGATAAGCTGAGAGTAGTTTGGAGGACTGGAGTTGCTCTGCTCAAGTCTGTTAGCACTTGTATTAGTGGCTTTTCCAGGATTAA